CCTGACACACTTCCTTTCATCTTCAGGCTAATTTAGCTGACCTGGTCGCCAACTATCCCGGGGAGTGAAAGCACACCAGCAGCCAATTGCACAGAGAGTCAGGTGGCATGGGATCTGCAGGGTCTCTGTAAGCAGCCCACAGAGACACACTAGGGGCTGTAGCTATGTTGTGTCCCCTGTCCCTCCTGTTCTCTGCAACTGACCAAGCTTTGGAAAGCACTCTTGGCAGTGCTGCAAAAGCCGCATACCCTGACATCACGTTATCCTACGACAGCCAGTCTCAGATATACCCATAAAAAGAAGGTGACCTCAACTAGAGATGGTCAGACCTTTTCCTGGCAGCAATTTATCTCACCTCTTTGCTCTGCAAGGTTTTTTTTACCCTCTTTGAAGCATCAATATGGCTCCTATTAGAGAAAGATCCAGTTCTAGATGGGCCAAAGGCAATCCCCTGAGTTTCTACCTAAGAATTATGTCATGCCCTTGGATTATTATCTTATCAACACCGTTCTTCACACAGACTTGTTGGCAGACAAGGACGAGAGTGTCATGTCCACGAAACTCATGAATGAACAACCAACCATGTGCTGTCAGACACGACCCTGAGTGCAGCCTGGCTGACCCATCTCAGATGAGGAAAACAACAGAGGTGCTGGTAGAAAACTGTCTCTTTGTTTTTCTCTTTTGGGCTGATCCATTATCATAACATCAAATTGCTCACAGTAAAAATGTTTGGCCATTAGGCTTCCAGGCAGTGATTGTAAAAAATCACAACCTACAGAGCACCACTTTCAGTGCCACTCTTGTCAAAAGATTTAAATAAATCTTTCCCATCATATTAGTTTGCAGTGTGTTTCAGTACTGCCTGGGAGCAGGGGGGAATTAGTGTTTGTAAGTAAAAAGTTTGGTGCCTGAAAATTTTCAGATGGTTTTTACCTATAACTGTACACTCTTTTCCTTAAAAGGCTTGCTTTAATGATGCAACAACTATTCTCCTTCCTGATGCTAATACTTCCTCACCTCACAATTCATAGGAGTACTACAGTGATTAATGAATGTCTCTGAACTGGAAAGTGCTATCTGAGTGCTAATTATTATCCGCACATACACATACTTCTGCTGCTTTCAAGGGCAGAGCATTCACACACCATGGTAATGGGAAAGCTTAGAAAAACATATATTGATACCTAGGAGTCTTATCAACCACAGAAATGTATAAAAGAAGAATAAATTAAAAGTTAGATGTTTCAATTCATTATTGCACGTTCTAGTGAACTGCTCTCCATCTGTTTAATAAGTTCAGGGCAGCTGAAAATGGAGTTTAGATTGGAAGCTGCTTGCAACCTTACCTTCTTGCAGTCTCAGTAATACTAACAAGAATTATAAAAATATGTTATTGCCCATTTTGAGGAGCACAGTTAAAGTAGGTGACAGCAAACCCAAAGTGTAAGTTGAAGGCTATGGATTCATCCAAATTCTGCTGCCCAGATGCCAGGGCTCCACATCGATCAATCCAAAGCTCCCATATACAGCATCCCTCTCTCTCACGAGCCTGAGGAAATATTGCCTGAAGAAATTGTTAGCTGATGCTCCACTAAGGTTTTTTGTAGGTTTTTTTATCTCATCAATCTTTAAAATGGTGTGATTTGAGTGTAAATTATATTTTCAGACGTTTCGTTAATGAGGATACTTTGCTCACATTTATCAGTCAGTGCTAACTGCTCTCAGAGTTCCTCTGCTCCTGTAACTCAACAGCCAGCCTGGGAGGGCTCAGGAATCACACGCTCAGCATGTATAAAAGAGGTTTGCTCTCCTAGGACACGTTAATTAAAGTCAACTGATTGAAAAAATAATTACAGGAGAATGGGAAGGGGGAAAGCCTAGTCCCGTAATTTAAAGATCTCTGAAGTTTCTGTTTTGTTGAGAGGTAATAATTTTGTTGAGGAAAGAGGTTCTCTTTCTTTTTCCTTCTTGGACTCTCTCTATATTCACTCCTTACAAAGATGTGTAATGGCAACGAGCAATACCCAGCAGCATTTCTTTTGAGTTTTGCAAGAACATGGGGCCTTTTCCAATGTATGCTTTCATCTGACTTTCATTGCTGTTGCATCTTGAGGTGTCCCAAAGACACTGTAGTGTCTCACCTAAAAGGTTATGTGATCCTGACCACAGTTGTCCTATAGGATATGGAATAATGTAAACATTAAAACTGTTAAAAACTGCTATTGTAGCATTTCTCAATCTAAATAAAACTGGCTAGGAATCTTGTTTCTTTATGCTGCCTCTACTTCAAATGAAAACCCTTCAACAAATCAAAACTAGGGAAAACAGTTTAGCATTTTAAGCTAATACTAATTGTTTCAGAAACCCATATTTGCTCAAGGGTATAATTCATTCAAAAAATGACCTTAAAACTCAGTGTTAAGCAAACATAAACCCCTTGTTGTTTGGGAGTAGATGTTTTTAAGCTGCTTTCTCTCAAATTACGATCCTGTGTTTCTTGCCAGCTCTCCATTCCACCACCTGCCTGGGCATTCCCAGCAAAGAGAGGCAGCGCCGCTGCCGCCGCCGGCCCAGAGGCTGGGAGACCCCACAGCTCTGCTCTGTCACAGTCTTTCTGTAGCATCTCAGGCAAGATGCTTGCCTCATGTCTTTCCTGTAAACTGGGGCAGTAGCCCTCTGCTCCCCATGGGCATGCAGAGAGCTTAAACAGGTTACAAAATGGGAAATGTTTACATTAGGGAACAATTCTTAGAAAGCTCTGACTGGGCAGTCTTACAAAATGATGGTCTCATTTTGGTATTGTACCAGCCTTGCCACTAGTGGATTTGGTTCTAAGCACCCATTTATCCAAACCACTGACTATTTAGTGCAAACAAATTCTGTAGTGAACCGGAGAGGGGGTGGTTCATGTTCCCTAATGGCTTCTTTGTAACAGCAGTGTTTGGAACTGTAGCACAGCTGCTTTGAAGGCCAATTCTCTTTCCCTAATCTGACTCCCCTAGGGCTTTACAGTTTGTATTCAATCCTTAGAAATATTTTTATAATAAATATATGTGCAAAACTCTATCCATATTACATATACATGCACACAACAGGCACAGATGAACATGTAGAAGGACCCATAAGGATTTGGCTTTGCTAGTGCTGAAAAACTTAGTGCCATTTTCTTTTAATTTTACTTTTAAAGGGGTGAGAATGTTTAAGGGAAAAAATAATAAAAAATATGCAGTTATTGTCTGTCATAAGTTTAATATAAAACAAAGCTGAATTTGCCTATGTATAGAGAGAACTTAGCGCTCTGTATTCATTTAAGATGCAAGTGCCTACCAATGTTCCTGGCGTGGAGCCTACCTTCAGCTGCTTTACACATTGAATAAATGTAGTTGCCATTAAATAACATTATCAATCAGAGTCACAGAAATTACTTCTTCAGGACTGCATGACTAATGGTGTTCTTTGGTGCATTTTAGAAATTTAGAATACCACAACACTGCAGAAAATTAAAAACCAGCTATGGAAACCATGAAAAGTAAACAAGTTGCCCCTGACACCAAATATTGTAGGCACAATGAGAACAAATCTTTAAAGGCTTTTCCTTTTGTAACTATTTTGAATCATCATCTTTCCACAACGCATCTTCCCTGCAAACTAATGCTACAGCACTTTTCTGTACTTAACACCTCTTTTGTAAACAAAGACCACCTTCAAAACCCTTCCTTTAGACAAGCTGGCATTTAAAATTTGAAATATGAGAAAAGCAAAGTGATCTCCACCCCTGAAACTTGTTGCTGATCTGCAGCCTGAGTCCTTATGTTCAATTATTTCCTTCAATAAGGAATCTGGTTACATTTTTGGGAACCAGTTCCACTGCCTGTGCTCTAATGGACCTTCCTTCATATTACTGAAAAAGGCAGGACCGGTATAGTTGTGTGGCAAAAGCATTTATTTTAATTAATAAAGCCATGAGGCAATGGTTTTCCTCCCTGATCCCCATTCTTTCATTTATTCACTTCTTAGTATCTTACCAGAATGGACTTTGGTTCCAGTGGGACTATTCATCTGCTTAAAGTGAAGTATTTGCCTTAGGGCTGTGCTCAGCGAGGGTTTCAGACCGATATCCAATGTGCCCAGCTGGGATTGGGGCTGCTGCCATTTCCCAGGACTGCACGTAGCAGCGAGTGTTGCAGCGAGTAGCGACAGTTTGCAAAACTGAGCCCAGAAACTCGCTGGGATTTCCCAGGGGAGCAGAGGCAGCCGTGCCTGTTGCTCCAGCACAGACAGCACACTTGCTACAAGCCAGTAAAAGGTGGCCCAAGCACCAGTATTTCCAGTGACCAGTATTTCCCTTGGAAACCAATACGCCTACAGGGTTTTTGCAGCGGGTGGCATCGTGACCTGTGGTACACCATTTTAGTTCAACCGGTTTTATCAAGGATGATGCAGGCAGCTGCCAGTTTTTAATTCTTCTCCCCATGTTTGACATGCAAGGTGCATCTCATGTGATGATCTCCCTCACAGTATCTCACTTTATGGTTTTCATATTTTTTAATCAGTGAAAAATAAAAAGTGACAAATGCTTCACTTGAAGGAAGCAAACTATTAATACGGGTTTCTGTGCAAATTGCAGCCATGACATGACCATTTTTCCCAAACTGCGCTTTTTAATGATATTCTACATTGTCTTTTCAACATGTTAAAACAGTGACATAAAATTAAATACAAACATGGGGCAGAAGTTGACTGGATGACTGCAGTTACCTGTACCAAAGAAGTACCTGAGAAATCAGTTATTTTGTCTAAACAAGGACTTAAATCTACTAATCTGCCTTGAAAAAAATAAATTTTCTGTATGTTAAGTGGATTGGTTTTTTTACCTCTTGTAGATATATTACACCAGACTTCCAGTTGAGGGAACGAGACTATGAGTGAAGAGTGCCCTGGAGATTGCGTGCAGTCTTTTCCTGGGTCAGAGCTGGATTGATCTGAGGATAGTAATTATGAGGCTGACATGTATGTTCTCCTTCATCTTGCTGTTTGGAGCAGCTGGGCTCGTTGTCTTCATTCACCTGCAGGATCCAGAGGAAATAGTTCATCAGCAGACACCAGGTTAGCATTCCTGTTTCTATTTGACTTGCCACTCTTTCATGTTCAGCATTTTGTACTTATATCCTTAACATGTTTTACATATTTCACAGAGGTTGCCTCAACAAAGGTATGTAAAGTTTTTAATACAGGCTATTTTGAAGTTAATTAATGATTTCTTTAAAAAAAGAAAGAAAATAGAGGACTTTGCTATACAGTTTCAAGAACCAGTTGACTGATTATGCAGGAATCTTTGCCAAGGGTCATAGGGTCCAGCCAGATGGAGTTAATTTTCTGCCAAAGTTGAGACCAACTTCTGCTACAGCTATACCACTATAAGTATGAAAATGAGAAATTCTGCCAAAAGTTCAGTTCCTGCAAATGCATGCTTCTGAATCCCCTTTTACCTGAGTATGGTATTCAATGTGTCATGGAGATGCAAAATAAGAGATGCATAAATGAGTTTTACAAGAAACATAAAACACTTCAGGATGCGTTCCTTCAATGTGCTTAACTTCCATTAAACTCTTCATTACTTTCATTCATACACGCGCCATCTTCTTTTGCTATTGACTTTAAACTGTGAAGAGCCATAAAGACTACATCGATGTGAGCACTAGAAAACTGGGCTGAAACACAGGTTTCCTTTTAAACAACGGGTACACAAGAAGTATGAAAAAGCATGAGATCTCTTGATTTACTTAAAATCACTTTCTCTTTGACTACGGCTGTAATGAAGGCTGGTTTAGAGCCTAAACAAATGCCAGTGGAGTTACTTCAGCTGATAATAATGCCCTTACGCATCAAGGTTTGGTCACTGTGTTTGCTTTTATATGCACTGAAATTTTCCTTTGACTAAGTAAGTGCTTTATAAAAAGTCTATTCGATTGGCATCTTCATTGTACAGTGAACACAACTGTGTCTATTTTAAAGTACTGCTGACATAAAGGAGCTGAACCCTAACACAGAGAACTCTTAAATAATTACATTAAGTGCTAATTTCTGTGTCCGGGTTTATTAAGGGCTTATTTCCATGTCACTAAACAATCTATACTTTAATATGTTTATAATTTAGTCCAACTACACACCAATTTTGAAAGCAGCCACTCAGCTGAAACTACAGAAGTAATGAATCATCAGTGCAAAGCAGAGAATTAACCAGTCCCTTCAGTGCTTTTGCAATTTATTTTTGTATACTTCATTGCAAAAGAGCTTACAGATTAAAACTGGTAGTACTGGCCCCATTCAACTGAAATTGGCCACTAGATTGGGAGTGAGGGGAAAGACATATGGACAGCAAATGCAGGCATCCTAATGCATCTAGAAATCTGTAACTTTATATTGAAACGTTAATTCTTTGCTCCTGAAAGAGAAGGAATTTCTAATGGTGGCTCGAAAACACTGCAATTTCGTCTCCATTTTTCAATTACTGGTCCCTCATCTTGACCTGTCATACATCTGTTCTCCACAAACTTCTTGAACCCTGACTGCTGCTAGTAGTCAGTGCTGAAGTGATTTTTGAGAGGGATTTAACTGTAGAAAGGGACGCCCGAGCATATTTAAATAAAAGCAAGTTTGAACAGAGCTCCTACCCCAGCCAGGAAACTCACTGCATAACACTTGGCTGCTGTGGGCAGGGTTCTGCATAGCTAAAACCTGAACATCCTAACGATGCTGTTACTGCCAAAGGTGTGCAATCAATTGCTCGATTCTCACATTCAATTACTATTTATGTTAATAGGAATCAGACTATACCCTTGAGTAAAAGGTGCTCAATACAATTACTCTTATTTCTGTTTGGCTGATTTTCATGTGTGTTAAGTGCTTTCAGCTCCCAGTGGTCTCAGAAACTCCTCACATCCCCTGCTTCTGAAAATCATATCAGTTATCACTAAAACGTATTAGGTGGCTTAAAGGACACAGGAAAAAATATCCATTTCTTTCATTAAAAAGGAGAGGTAGGTACATTTAACCACTTGACAGGTTCCTGTGAAAATCTGTCCATCACAAGTGACATTTTTGTCAAGCTGAGAAGGATCTTTCCCCTCACTTCCCACTTCTCCTTAAAAGGATCTGTTTCTAATGGTGATCGGATATTGCTATAATCTACTTGTCTGATTGCTCCCTCAATAGACTGACTAAATGCACGTGTCATTAAGCTACTTAGGGCAACAGATTCTGCATGGCAAAGTTTTACTTGATTAGCCTTTGCTTTTGTATTTCCCAGGTAGTTACTGTGTAGCTGAACATATCGGGAATCCATCAGGAAAACCGGAGAACAGTCAGTAACATTTATTTTCCACTGAAAAGCAGTGTAAGAGGATTTTGCTTTGTCCTAAAGAACATTTTTCACTGTTAGTACATTCAGTCATCTTTAATTTAAGATAGTACAACTTATGAAACAAGATTAATAAAAATACTTTGGTACTTTAGTTTTATCTGTCTGTTCCAGAAATTGTTCTTGATTGTTTTAGTCTTAGCAAGCATGATGGTGAGACCTTGATGTACTACTTAAACCAGTATAAAATCCACAGTCATAAAACTTTAAGTAATGCTTACATTACTTTCACTGAGCAAAGTACTCCTGACAGTAGCTGTTTGTGTTGATTTGTTACTATTCATTTATTCTTTCCCTGTGCTTCACATTGCTACCTAATTGTGATGCTGTACTGAGAAAGCAATATCAAAGTAATTTTCCACAACATTAGTTACAATTTTCTTCTGATCTTTCGAGTGAAACAATCCCATCCTGTTGGCTTCTGTGAGCATATAAACGTTGATTACATTTATCTGTTGGAAACTAATGCTTGCAGAGTATATGTGCCCGGGATAGCAGGTGTAGAGCCTCTTTTGCTGATTGACAAACATGCTGTCTGTGTAGTTTTATTTATATAACGCACGTCACTCCAAGCCAATATATTTAAGACAGACAGCCATTTAGGATGGGCAAAACAGATTGCCCAAGCCAATATATTAAATTCAGTAGATATTCCTGTTGTCATTAAAGTGACAATAACTTCATTTACAACAGTCATTTTCTCGGCATCTATGAGGAGTGCTATTGCTATGGAGAATGCAGGATAAAGCAGGGGTGTGGGTTGTGAAATGGCATGAATGATAGTCATATACCATACAGAAATGCAGTGCTTATCTAATAATCCTCCTGGTATAATTATATAAAACTTGGCTTCTGCAGTAATCATACCGTTATTCTTAAACAGACGCAGTAAAGGGTTTGTTTTCAGTAAGTCAAGCACATTTGAACATGATGCACAAAAAAAATGTAATACATATATCCCCATCCTAGTGCTAATGACTTTTGAATGTATAAATTTCCTGTCTGTAATATGCAGAATTAAACATGCAGAAACTTTACAGTAACTAAAAGTGCAGCCACTCCACACTGTGTTTGTCCTGAAACCACAAAAGCAGCTGGGAAGGGGCCTGTCCAGCCCTGTGGTTAGCAAGGGGTTTCTTCAGCATAACAGCACACGCCTTCTCCCGGGATTTACAGTGAGAGAGTTGCTAGGGCTAACGAGCACCTTCATGGCCTTGGCCAGGGCCACTGCAGTTTATGAGATCCCTGACAGCACTGAGACCTTGGATTTGTAAGAGCTGCAGTCAAGCGGTACAAGAGAGAGCAACTTGGACAAACAACGTCAGCAGGTGAGAGGTGCGTCTGGAGGATGCACCCCATCCTGACGGCTCCCAGGGGGATTTCAGACACCTACACACACTCCTGAGCTGCAGACCAGGCAATCTGTGGGCTGGAGGCAGGGCTGTGGCCATGAACTGCAGGTGGGCAGGCGAGGTCATGGATGCCAGGACCACTGCTTCCAAGCTGCACCAGGGACACCGTATCTATAGCTGTACTACAACTGTATCTGTACTTAAGACCATGTGCTCGATGGACTTTAGTCAGAGGAGAAGGGATGTTCTAAAATGGTATCTACTGCTCTAATAGGAGATTTTTGCCTAATAAAAGCCAGGGGAAGTATTAATATTTCTATACACCTATATTCATGTAGCAAATTTCTGTCTATATGGTGAATAAGCCTGTGGGAAAAATTATTGTTTTTTCCCATATGGTTACTGAATCCACAAACCTGTAAGAGTTTTCAGCTAGAACTTTTACAGTGAATATATGTGAACACATACTCCTCTGGGAGCTGGTAAAAGGTAGAAAATACATCTCAAAGGATGCATGTTGTGAAAGCTCCCGAAGGGTGAAAACAGGGAGTAGCAAGGAAATGGCTTTGCACTCTTGACTGTATCAGAATTTGAAAGTCAAGTATGAATATAACCAAGCCTGAAACTCATCTCACTGAGATTCTGCAGTGATTGCTCTCTTTACCTCATCTACAAATTCCTAACATAATACTGTCATCTTCTTTATTTTCTGCTTTACTAAGGGTGTGATGGGGAGGAGAGGGAAGAAGGAGAGACAACAGAAGGGCTGGCATGCAAATGCTACTGTAATCCTCATGGCACAAGAGAGCCACGGTGCAGAAATCTTACTGTATATTACCGTAGTCTTAGAGCAAATACCAATGTTATAGCTAGACTGAAATTTCCTTAATTACTTATTCAGAGCACATACACCTTGTTAGTCACAAATTACAGTCCTAGGCACTTCTCTGTGTTAGCTGTACATTTCCATAATACTATCCTAGTGCACAATGCACCACTTGTTTGTCATACTGGAAACTTTTTATAAATACAATTGAAAATGAACTAGCATTGATATATAATTTCAGAAGTAATTTTCCTACAATTTGCAACTTACTTCTCATTATAAACCCAGAGTAATTTAACCTGCTTCTCACCTAACAGCATCAGCAGAAATGTTGTACAAAGGAATCTGGTGACCGTAGCTTTTCAAGCAGAAGCAGCATGCTTTTATGTGTGTAAGGGTCGCTTCCAGCAACTGAAGAGTGGATGAACCTTTTGCAGTCACATCTTCTGAGTCTTCTTTAGCTGAACTTCCCCCAGTGTCGTGGTCTATTTCCTTGCCTGCTGAGGCA